GGGGTCAAGGGCCCGTGAGTCCGACTGTGTCTGAGCAGCCCCCTCTGACCCAGCTGGAAAGGCTCTAGTGCAGGTCATGTGGTCATTCGGGGCGGATTCTCTAAGTCTGTGCATCTCACGTTTCTTTTGAGCCACTGCAATTCTGCTTTGCTTCTCGAGCACAGTGCCCTCTCTGATGTGGGCACGCCATGCCAGGCGGCCCTGTGCCAGTGTCTCCCGGGTCTCACAATCAATTCCAAAGTCCTTCAGGCAGACCTTGAGAGTGGCCTGGTATCACATCTTCTGACCTCCTTGTGAGTGAGCGCTTGCCCCGTGTGAGCTCTCTGTACAAGAGGAGTACGTTTGGCATCCAGACAACGTGGCCGGCCCATCGGAGCTGCACCCTCTGAGTGGAGTCTGAATGCTTGGCGGTATTGTTAGAGAAAGGACCTCAGTGTCCAAAGCCTTATCCTGCCAGGTGATCTTCAGAATCTTCCTAAGACAATTTAAACAGAAGAGATTCGGTTTCCTGGCATGGGGTTGGTATGCTGCCCAGGTTTCACAGGCATACGACAATGAGTCAGCCCAACAGCTCTGTAGACCTTCAGTTTGGTAGGCAGCCTAGCACCTCTTCTCTCCCCCACTTTCCTTGGGAGCCTCCTAAACACTGAGCTAGCTCTGGTAATGCATGGGTCAACCTTATCGTCTACAGGTACATCTCTGGAAAGCATACTGCCAAGGTACGGGAACTTATTTAAAACTCCATTTGCTAGAGCCAGTGGTTTGATGTATGTGGTGGTGTATGATGCATGTGGTTTGATGTATGTGGTGTGGGGCTGGCTGGTGGAGAACCTAGGTTTTCTGGGTGTTAATGGTCAGGCTAAAATGAACACAAGGGACACAGAATCAATCTATATTTTGTTGCATCTCAGCCTCAGGGGCTGCATTGAGTGCAAAAAGTCACACACCAACTCTCTTTCCACTTTAGTCTTGGCTTGTAGCCTTTTCAAGTTAAATGTTTACCATCAGTGTGGGAGCTGACCTTGACGCCGTGTTTGTCGTTATTGGAGGTGTCTGACAACATCACTGCAAACATCATGCTAAATAGCATGGGAGCAAGCACACAACCCTGCTTCCCTCCATTGGTGACTGTGAATGTGTGAGAGTATCATCTATTATCCAGAACCCGGGCAAGCATGCTGTCATGGAACTGACGTACAATAACTGATGAACTTCTCTGGGCAACCACTTTTGCCACGATCTTCCACAAGCCCTCACGACTGATAGTATCAAAGACCTTGGTCAGATTGCCGGCCTTTGTGTACACACCTCTGTTCTGCCCCTGGCAGACGCCCCCCTAATTCACCCATGGGTTGGAGACCCCTCGGTGACCCTCAGCCTGATTTAGTCCATCTGCCAAAGTGGTTTTCTAGGGTGTGACTGCTGTACGTGCTACGGCTTCTTGGAGCCACAGGTGAGAGCTGGGTGGATCAGGTGGATGCCAAAGGTGGACACCAGGGGTCCTAGCCTTCCCTGGACACACACCTGACACCCTTCTAAGGTCATCAAGTTGCAGAGAAGACAGATCCATAATCCCCTGCTTCCTTCCATGTCACAAGAGCGGGATAAACCTAGTTAAACAGTCATGATCTCATAACACCCTAAGGAAACAAACCTCATCGAACAGACTGAATGTGGTTATGGATGAAGCTGCAGGTGGAGGATTCACAATGGGCTGACTGAGGAGGAGTATTTACCTATCACCAAGGACTCAGGGAAGGCTGGGATTCTTCCTCTGCCTTCTCATCTCAGGAACGCTTAAAGCACTAGTGAATGTTCACATCCCCTGGGGCAGGTTTTGGTCAGCTGAGGTTAATATTAACCCAAAGTGGCAGGAGGAATGAAGGGAAATCCAAACGTCTGTCCCCAACATTTGGCCTGGTGGCTAAAGAGCCAGGGGGACCCTGGGCGGACAGTTCTCTGGACACTCTCAAGGACCGCTGAGCTCCTGAGCTGAGAAGGTACTCACCTGCATCAGCAGAGGGAGGTCCCTCACCCATAGTGAATTCTGAGCTCCAGTCCGTCCCTGGGCTGTGGGTCTTTGAACTTGGGCCTCCCACGCTCCTTTCTCTCTGGGTGATGAGCTGGCAGCCTTACCTGAGCCTTTGGAAAAGAAAGGAACAAACCAGGAAAACAGACCCGTCAAAAGCAGGAGTGGCCCTAGGGAAGGTGATGCAGACACCCCAACAGCTGTGAGGATGCATCGGGAGGGGGCCGGGGCAGAGGTCTTTGGAGCGGCTGCTGTGCCGTCTGCTGAGGAGGCCGGAGAGCTTTGGCGGCCTCACCAGCAAGGCCTCAGTGGCTGCGGGTCAGAGACAGAAAGCAGAGAGTTTACTAGGAAGACCCCGATTCCAAGGCAGAGATTTGGCGGCCTGGGTCAGCAGCACTGAGCAGCCACTTAGGGGAGA